GTCTGTCTCTCACAAGTCTGCCTCTCAAGTCTGTCTTTCACAAGTCTGCCTCTCACAAGTCTGTCTCTTCTCAAGTCTGTCTCTCACAAGTCTGTCTCTTCTCAAGTCTGTCTCTCACAAGTCTGCCTCTCAAGTCTGCCTCTCAAGTCTGTCTCTTCTCAAGTCTGTCTCTTCTCAAGTCTGTCTCTTCTCAAGTCTGTCTCTCACAAGTCTGTCTCTTCTCAAGTCTGTCTCTTCTCAAGTCTGCCTCTTCTCCAGTCTGTCTCTTCTCAAGTCTGTCTCTTCACCAGTCTGTCTCTTCTCAAGTCTGTCTCTTCGCCAGTCTGTCTCTTCTCAAGTCTGCCTCTTCTCAAGTCTGTCTCTTCTCAAGTCTGTCTCTCACAAGTCTGCCTCTTCTCAAGTCTTTCTCTTCTCAAGTCTGTCTCTCACAAGTCTGTCTCTTCTTCTCTTCTTCGATTTACAAATTTACCTACTGATCTGATTGTACCTGACATACTATATGATAAAGTGGAAAATGTTCCGGTAAGAAGGTGCCTGGCAGCGGCAAATGTGTCCCCAGTACCCCTCAGTAGAAGGGTGAGAGGGGTGAGTGTGGAACAAATCAGTGCACAGGTCGACAGGGAGAAGTATATCGCACTCAAATCACTCCATGGCAATGCTGTTTGTTGATTTTTTAGCAAGACTTCGTAGTTGGCCTGTGAGCCAAGGTAACCTTTTTGTCCATCAGCTATCAACCATGTTATTATAGACACTGCTGATGTGATCACGTAGATGCTGGTCAATAGGAAAATGGTCAGACTGGCCTTTAAAACAGTATCTACTACATTTGACTGCCCCGCCGCATTAAGGTGATTCAATGCACGGCGAGCACGTGTTTTATGCAGTGAACACAGCTGCACTATCATCAACACAAAACAAAGCAATGCAGGCAGAGCAGTGGGTAAAATGAACTGAACCAGGTTGCCAAGTTGGTAGGCGAGATAGCTTGGACCATTATCATCCTTCTCCATGGTCAGGAGAACCAACCCAAATCCTGGCTGACCCTTCATAATCATCGTCTTCACCATAAGTATTTGATTTTTCGTCCCCCTTTTTTCAGCAAACTGCCACAGGTCAATCCCAACAATGAGCATCCAAATCAACATGTACACAAGGGTGCACACAGTGAGGGATTTCCTTTTGATCAGGTAGAAAGGTTGAGCAATGTTAATGCACCGGACTATTCCCAAGATGCAGTTCATGAAGACGCTCATCTTTAAAGCTATGGCGGTCAAAAAATAGATGATGTAGGCAGGCACTACCATATCAGATATTTCATCGCCTTTTGAGATCAGTAGATACAAAATGGGGCTCTGAAGAAGAACTCCTAATCCTACGAAGAAGTCAGCTATTCCATTCCGGAGATAGAGGGTTTGTATTAGGCCAAGTTTGGTGGCACGTGATTTAACAAACCTAAAGTATGCTATGGTCATACTGAGGACAATACAACAGATGGAGACCAATGTATTTACTGTTGTTAGAGTCATCAAGCTGGCTTTATCAGAACCTTCCATCGATTGATTACTGTCATCATTGACGAAGATTGGAACGAAGACCCCAACTACAAATGGTTCATTAACTGAATTGGTTACTACACCACTCAAATCAAACATCCATGTTGTAGTCTCAATAGTCCCATATGTTTTATGATAAGAGCTGGCACTCTGGGAGGAGAGTACACAATGTACTGTAGTTACCATAGTTACTAGCAGGAGTCTGGTAACCACCATCATTCTAGATAAACCCATGACAGATGCTTGCTTGCAAATTACCAACACAAATGATATACAAGGATAAATAGTATGGTTGTTGATTTGAAAAAAAAGGCTAGCACTGAATCTTGCAACGAATAATTTCAATTTGGTCTGATTGGAGGACGTACTTGAAACTGTCTAATTGAGTCGTGTATTATCATTTAGTTTTATGATTTGCTGCTTCTTTCATTCAAACTTCTGATTGTTTCTAAATAGACTCAGTGGAGACGGATTCTACTGGATATTCTTGTCTAAAAGCGATACCTGCCAAACCTACATAATGCAACATAATAAAGCAATTCAGAAATAATTACAATTGGATTTCAATTTATCCAAGTAAGTATTGAGAATCTCTCTCTCCAGATAAACTTTTCCACACTTCACGCTTAGTTCAGGTTACAACGAGGTGTATTGTTTACTTAATGTTTACACTTTACAAATTTACAGGTTGTTAGTTGTTAATTTAATAATCTCCAATTACAGGCTGTGTAACGGGGGACACTGCGCTCTTCAGAAACTCACTACTTCCCATACGGTACATACTAAACAAATACTTTATAAAGTAATATAAATATCACTCATAAAAGTATTATAATTATTGACACACGTTGCAACCCCTTTTCGCACGAAGCGGCCACAAAACTACAAAAGGCTCTTTCCTACCGAACTGCCGGAGAGAGAAGCTGGAGTGCACGCTTCGCTAGCACGAGAGAGGCATACTACGTGTAGCAATATAATTATTACTTACGGTACAAACTTAACAAGTACTTAATACTTTATAAAGTAATATAAATATTACTTTAGGTTATTTACATGTTTCACACCCACGGTCTATTTTGTTTTATAACTTACCAATTTCACAATTTCACATATTTAACTTAGTTTAAGTGTTTGTTACTTGTCATTGTCAATGTTACTAGTCCTTTTACCGTGTCCCTATCAGATAGACTCTTGCTTTGTTGACTATAATGTTCACTACAGAGAGTATAAAATGTGCAGCCCACATGCTAAAAACACGTCACTTAATTATTTAATTATTAATTATATGTCAGATAATAAATAATTAGATATTCAATCGGACTGAAGGGGACTTCATTGTCCCTCAATATCATAATCCATTTTGTTAACAACATTTGGGTGAGACAAAATTTGGGTGAGATATTTAGTAATTAGTATCTATAATCTTACATAATATCAAATGTTATAGAAAACACCCTAACTCAATATAACATTTCACTTTTCAGGCACATCATTATAACGGCGGGTCCCAAATACAACCCCAAATACATATCAGCAGCTGAAAACACGCTCTTTACTTGCTACAGAAACTCTCTTAACCTTGCCATGTTAGTTAACTACAATACAGAAACTATTTAACTATTGTGTGTATCATTTAGTTTGACAGTGTGTTCTTTTTATTCCTAGTTAAATATATAAGTTTGCTTAAACTAGCAGCAATATTCTTTATCCCATGTGAAAACACTATTTTGGTGTGGATGTGTGGATATGGATCTCCGATATTATCTGTTAATTTAATTAATAACGTGATTTGTTTTTGTTTGGCTTGGAAGTGGCAGTACCAGTGCTAACTTTCACCCAATAAAACAATTATTTAGTTTCACTATAGTGTCATTAGTGTTAATTGAGGCTACATTATAATATAAGTGTATAACTACACTGAGAAGTGTTTGAACACTAACAATGTACACTTTACAGGGACTACAATGTAGAAACACTAACTATTGGTAAAATACACAACGAACACAAGGGATACCCTGAAAAGGAGGCTGTTCACATGGCACTCAGTGAGTAGTTGCTATAGTTACCGAGACAGTGCACTCAGTGAGTAGTTACTATAGTTACTGAGGCAGTGCACTCAGTGAGTAGTTGCTATAGTTACCGAGGCAGTGTACTCAGTGAGTAGTTACTATAGTTACCGAGGCAGTGCACTCAGTGAGTAGTTGCTATAGTTACCGAGGCAGTGCACTCAGTGAGTAGTTACTATAGTTACTGAGGCAGTGCACTCAGTGACTAGTTACTATAGTTACTGAGGCAGTGCACTCAGTGAGTAGTTGCTATAGTTACCGAGGCAGTGTACTCAGTGAGTAGTTAATATAGTTACTGAGGCAGTGCACTCAGTGAGTAGTTGCTATAGTTACCGAGGCAGTGCACTCAGTGAGTAGTTGCTATAGTTACCGAGGCAGCGCACTCAGTGAGTAGTTGCTATAGTTACTGAGGCAGTGCACTCAGTGAGTAGTTGCTATAGTTACCGAGGCAGTGTACTCAGTGAGTAGTTACTATAGTTACTGAGGCAGTGCACTCAGTGAGTAGTTGCTATAGTTACCGAGGCAGTGCACTCAGTGAGTAGTTACTATAGTTACTGAGGCAGTGCACTCAGTGAGTAGTTGCTATAGTTACTGAGGCAGTGCACTTAGTGAGTAGTTGCTATAGTTACTGAGGCAGTGCACTCAGTGAGTAGTTGCTATAGTTACCGAGGCAATACACCCTGTTGCTATAATGCCACGTGATTACTACCCGTGCATCTGATCAGTTTGTTGTACATTAATGCGCGGATACACATGTGTGTGTTATGTTACTACCTGTAGTCATACTTTACATCGCTTGTCATATATGATGTAGGCCTAACATTATCTTTATCTAATTTGCCTTATGTGTGTAGTATCGTGTTTCTCATTTCAGTAATGTGTAACCTTAAGTTTTTACCGCTCATAAAATGTGAGATGTTCGCTCTAAATCATCTTGAAATGTGGAAGTGTGGTGATTTTGGGAAATCACATACTCTGCATATTTCGGATAAAATATTATCCAATGTTTACGTTTTGTTCTAATTGATCCCGGATGTATCTTTCATGCGTAGCATGTAACACGCGATCGCCTAATTAACGTTTGTTATTGAAACAACTTAAACCAGTGTCATTTAGTGCGCGCGTTCAAGCCGCGCATCGCATGGTAATTTTCACCTACCCTACTATACAAAATCTAGCTTAAAAAAGATAATGTGTAGTTAGTTTCCTATATTTTAACTGAGGACCTGTAAATTCATGAATTGGCGGTTTATAGACAATTATCTATCATCACAAAACTCTTAATCAGGGGTAACGAGGCGTTTTTTGGAGAAACACGGCGACCGGTTCAGAAGGATCTGCTTTGTACTTGAAAGTAGCCGAGATATGGTGAGACACTTTTATTTCCCAGCCCACTAACCTAGTCCCCCCTCCCTCATTATGTGCCCCTGTTTATATATCATTCTGCTAACACCTCCCTCCTCTCAGATGTTTTACCAAGAACTGTTCCCCTACTACTTCCCCCGGAATTCTGGAGACTACAAGTTCCAGCTTGAGTTACCAGACTGTATGGGCGGTGACTACGGGGAACCCATCAGAGAGGGAACTAACACTTCTCTTATTAAAGCGCACTGTGAGTTGCGGTTTTAAATCTTAAGTTCTCTTCAATGTTTGCACGAAGTTATTATTACCCTCGTCTTGGATGTTTTAAGTCCTCGCCATTTTTACTGTCCGAAACATATTTTTGCTGCTTCCTCTAGACATACTCGGCTTAGATTTGATATACTAGTTTGAAACATCTTTTTGATTTGGCGAAAATTTTTAATTGAACAAGGGAATTATGCGATATATTTACAATCTATTATTACGTATTAACACATATAGAGAGTAAGAAAAGAAACTGATAGATTTTAAACTGCGCTTTTGGTCTTTAATTGTGAAAATTGTGAAAATTCTAAGAAACTCATTGTCATTAGTCCTACAAAATGTGTTCGTTTATTTCATAACGACTATAGAATAACCCTATTTTTCTACTTGCAAGAAAGGAGGGGGTGTTATAACTGTTTGCAGACATTTGTTGTACCGAGTTTCCTCGAGGAGTGAGACCCACATGTTATCCAGATTAGCTCCCTCCCACATCAGATCAGTACACGCACTTTCTACATTAGCCGCTCTTTTTGAGAACATGGGTATTCCTTTGCAGGTCCCATTACTGTATCTACGGTAAATCCCCGACCCAAGGATGTCATTAGTGCAATCTGTTGGCTTTGCTGTGCTCCCAAGGGCGGATATAACGACAACCTGGCTTTCAGATCCGTCCCCTACGAGTGGGTCTACAAGTGTGACATCAGATCGGTCCATCTCCTTGTAACTCATCGTCAACCATCCGTTTTCTTGGTGGTGAAACTGCATCCCTGCATAGACAACCCATCTCCACAACTTACTGTAGCAAAGTCGGAAACCTACCACAAGAACGAATGTAACGCTACTGTCGCTACTGTCGCTACCATCATCAAATTGGATCTGAATAGCCTCGTAGTCCTTCTTTCTGCTCCACAATTCCATCGTGTTCCTTGCCCTCTGTACCAGTACAAACGACTCCCTGCCTTCGCGATTCCCCCAGAACTGAGCAGCGCACCTCCCCTGCTTTTCCTCCTGTTTACCGTACACTTCTGTTCCTATTAATTGAGGGCTGAGGGACCACGCGTTTGTCAGGATCAGACCAAAGCGGCTCGCCTCTAATTCCAATGAGGGTAGGGGTCGGAAGGATGTGGTGGCTGGAGTGGGGGTTGTAAACATGCTCTCTTTTCCTGACATTTCTTTTATCAGTTGTGTTAGTTTCAGGAGGTAGGATTGTTCTTTTTTCTTCAACCATTCCTCTGTTTTGCTGATTTTTGCAGTCGTTTCTCTTGCGATGCTTTCTAGTTCATCTGCTATTTCAACGAAAGCAAGTAGATCAAGTTTAAATTTTATGTCACTGTCCACCTTCTGTTTCATTTTCTCGGTCTCAAGATAATGTGGGATGTCGAGAGGCAGCTGAGCATTCAATAACAGTTGTGCAATCTCGGACCCGCTCATAAAGTCATAAATAACTTGACCTCTGAAATGGGAGGCTTTGTTTATCTTTCTGATCATGTGTCCTTCTTTGACGCAGTTTTCGCCGAGATTCCTGAACATTTCGTTGCAAAGTGGGGATAAGATTGACTCGCAGAGGGTAGATGGCAAAATGGACAGTAGAAACACGAAACGGAACATGGTTACATGCAAATGAGACATAAAGCTGTGATATTTATAGATGTAAATTTACCATTATTTATGTGATCATGTTTGACTTGCCAGAAAGGATTAAATGGAAACAGAATATGAAATTTATTCTTGATTCAGTCATCATCAATCATCATGCACTTAGTAGAAAAATTTATTAAAAAGGAAATACAAAATACTTGTGATAGATGAAATCGTAATACAAAGCTGAAATAAATTAATACCGGCCTGCTAGGCCGCTAGGGCTCCACAGTAACACTACAACAGGGGTGTAGGAAACGGGTGGGGGGGGGGGGCAGGGGGGCCATCGCCCCCATAAAATCTGGGCAAGGGGCCAAAAAGGGCCAACTTTTTTATTTAGGTTTCTAAAATGAAGAAAATCATTCCTACACCCCTGCACTACAACATGATGCAAAGCAGACATCCTTCAAGACCGATATGCATCAGTATGAAGTGACCCAGGACCCTGACAACGAGAAGAAACAAGATACGACCAGCAATATAAAATCTCCCTCAGAAACATTGACATAATTAAACAGACCCGGGGAATTATATACCTGTCTCATTTAAGCATTTAATAAGGAGTCAAATAAGGATTAAGGAGTAAGATAAGGAGTAAGATAAGGAATAAGATAAGGAGTAAGATAAGGAATAAGATAAGGAGTAAGATAAGGAAAGTAAGATAAGGAGTAAGATAAGGAAAGTAAGATAAGGAGTAAGATGAGGAGTAAGATAAGGAGTAAGATAAGGAGTAAGATAAGGAGTAAGATAAGGAATATATCACAGGGAGCACGTCCTCAACACCTCTCGCTAAGAAACTAAACGTGCACAGATCGGACTTTGCAGCGATGAAACAAGACCCCGACTCAGCCAGACTCTTCCAGCAATCCCAGCAACCTGATGTGTGAGTCTTTACTTTCTGACTAACTTCTAACATATTTGTGGAAGCTTTTTACAGCAGATTACCTGATACCTCCTGATAATACCATCCCTCAGTTTACTCCCCCTCCCTCACCCCTCCCTCTCCCTCACCCCTCCCCTTCCCTCACCCCTCCCCCTACCTCACCCCTCCCTCTCCCTCACCCCTCCCCCTCCCTCACCCCTCCCCCTCAACCCCTCCCTCTCCCTCACCCCTCCCCTTCCCTCACCCCTCCCCCTACCTCACCCCTCCCTCTCCCTCACCCCTCCCCCTCCCTCACCCCTCCCCCTTCCCCACCCCTCCCCCTTCCTCACCCCTCCCCCTCCCTCACCCCTCCCCCTACCTCACCCCTCACCCCTCCCTCTCCCTCACCCCTCCCCCTCCCTCACCCCTCCCCCTACCTCACCCCTCCCTCTCCCTCACCCCTCCCCCTTCCTCACCCCTCCCCCTCCCTCACCCCTCCCCCTCCCTCACCCCTCCCCCTCCCTCACCCCTCCCCCTCCCTCACCCCTCCCCCTTCCTCACCCCTCCCTCACCCCTCCCCCTCCCTCACCCCTCCCCCTCCCTCACCCCTCCCCCTTCCTCACCCCTCCCCCTCCCAGGTATAACCAGCTGTTACAGTGGTCCCGTACAGAAGATCTGTCCCGGGTAGCTAAGTGTAGAGCAGTCTACCACTCCGGGGTGGATAGAGAGGGGGTTCCAGTGGTTGTTTGTGTGGGTAGACACTTCCCTACCCACCTTCCTGAACATAAGGTGAACTGTTTAGTCTTACTAAAACAATGTAACGCATTGGTTCTTCTTCTATTTTATTTGGGACGCGTATATTGTTTGTACCGTTGTCTCGTGGTGAATTTAAGTGATTATTTAAGCCTCACAGCTTTTAAATTCACGATATCCAAGTGATGGACCCCACTACAACCCGCCCTATTATTAAAGTGTTGTCTCACTGTATCCAAGTGATGGACCCCACTACAACCCGCCCTATTATTCAGGTGTTGTCTCACTGTATCCAAGTGATGGACCCCACTACAACCCGCCCCTATTATTCAGGTGTTGTCTCACTGTATCCAAGTGATGGACCCCACTACAACCTGCCCTATTATTAAAGTGTTGTCTCACTGTATCCAAGTGATGGACCCCACTACAACCCGCCCCTATTATTCAGGTGTTGTCGCACTGTATCCAAGTGATGGACCCTAATATAACCCGCCCTATTATTCAGGTGTTGTCGCACTGTATCCAAGTGATGGACCCCACTACAACCCGCCCTATTATTCAGGTGTTGTCTCACTGTATCCAAGTGATGGACCCCACTACAACCCGCCTTATTATTCAGGTGTTGTCTCACTGTATCCAAGTGATGGACCCCACTACAACCCGCCCCTATTATTCAGGTGTTGTCTCACTGTATCCAAGTGATGGACCCCACTACAACCCGCCCCTATTATTCAGGTGTTGTCTCACTGTATCCAAGTGATGGACCCCACTACAACCCGCCCCTACAACTTGGTCTACTTCCACACCACGTGTACAGGGCCCCGTAAGGACCTGGACCTTATACAGAAGGTGTTCTCTAACTCACCTCTCAGATACCGCACTAACCTCAAGGCCTTATACAGTGTCCACGCTTCTAGACTCCAGAAGGTTAACCTGATTTTGTTGTACTTTAATGCAATACGAGGAGCTGGGTAGAATTTGATAATAAATACGCAAAACATAATCAAGGAAACAAGGACATTTTGGTTGAGCTATTCAATACACCCCACTTTACACCGCACTTTACCCCTAAACTTCTCTCTCAGTTTATGACGTGGTGGTTCACAGTATCTAAAGTGAAAGAAGTGAAAGGGAAGATAGTTCAGTTCAACTCTCTAGCTCAGCTATTTGAGAAGTTCTCTCCCGAACAACTCCAAGTCCCTCAGTTCATCCTAGACTACGACTACGGGGTATGTTTTTGCTGTTTGTTCAATAGGTGTCTTCGTAACTACTTCACACTCGTTTTAAGCTCTACAATGAACAGTTTGTTTTAAGTGAGGGATTCTATCTTGAGATTAACAAGATAAAACTGTCCAACTAAAAGTATCACGATAACCTATTGTTGAGACATATTTTATCATTTGTACATGGTACTTTTACTCTCTTATCTCTTATTTATTTATCAAATCTCTCGTTACAGACGCGCGGCTCTCCGGCTCCAGATCTGTAAAATACGACATCACGTGTCACCATGACAACGCACGTGATAACCACGTGATAACCAATGATATCAAGGAGAACACTAATAAAGTAATGAATGTACTTTATACTTATGTGTAGTTACCAACCGGGAAATTGGTAGATCACCGACCGGCTATAAGCCGGTTATAAGCCGGCTATAAACCGGCTTATAGCCGGCTACAATTTTTATAGCCGGCTATAAGCCGGCTTATAGCCGGTTAGTAGCCGCTTACATTTGTTGTTGAGCGACGGCTATTAGCCGGTTATAAGCCGGCTATTAGCCGTTTAGGTATCGGCTATAAGAAATTCAGTGAAAACGGCTATTAGCCGGTTATAAGCCGGCTATTAGCCGTTTAGGTATCGAAAGTGGTTATAAGCCGGCTATAAGCCGGCTATAAGCCGGTTATAAGATATTAACTCAACTTCATCGTACTGAACGATAGTCAGGAGCCGGCTATAAGAAATTCAGCGAAAACGGCTATTAGCCGGTTATAAGCCGGCTATTAGCCGTTTAGGTATCGAAAGTGGTTATAAGCCGGCTATAAGCCGGCTATAAGATATTAACTTAACTTCATCGTACTGAACTGAGTTAATATCTTATAACCGGCTTATAGCCGGCTTATAGCCGGCTTATAACCGGCTTATAACCACTTTCGATACCTAAACGGCTAATAGCCGGCTTATAACCGGCTAATAGCCGTTTTCACTGAATTTCTTATAGCCGGCTCCTGACTATCGTTCAGTACGATGTAGTTGAGTTAATATCTTATAACCGGCTTATAGCCGGCTTATAACCACTTTTAATACCAAAACGGCTAATAGCAGGCTTATAACCGGCTAATAGCCGTCGCTCAACAACAATTGTAAGCGGCTACTAACCGGCTATAAGCCGGCTTATAGCCGGCTATAAAAATTGTAGCCGGCTATAAGCCGGCTTATAGCCGGTTAGTAGCCGGCTTATAGCCGGTCGGTGATCTACCAACTGGCCTACCAACCTTACCCAGATATTGAACTCTTATCAAATAAGTTTCTCCGACTACAGACTCAGAAATATGTTACCTTGCTAATGTTTTTTTTATCGTATTTTTGTTTTTACTGTCCCTTTTATATATATATTATATATAATATATTATGCACCTCTATTAAACTTTACTACTGAGCTGGTACTCAGATACTTAGATCAATCATTTAAATGAATAATATTCATGCTTGAACGTGTGATATGTTTTTAAGCTCCGATATCTCCATTGTTTTCAACATAGTTTTTAAACGTAATGTAGCCATTTGTCTTGTTTGATCGCATATCAATAGGAGCTAAAATACTTGACAAAGGATACGACTTTCCGATTTCTGTGGAAAGTAGTTTTGTTTGAAAACTACTATTTTTAGACGCTCGCCGCTTTATATTACCGCTTTATATTACCGAAGTTTTTCTTTTTAAAACACGTTTAAAAAAGCATTAATCTGTGTCGGTTACTGATTGATGACTTGTTAATATCTTCCTGCTAAAATGTTTAGTCACAATTGTAGAACAGTTATCAGTTATCTAAAACCGGTTACATTCAGTATCCGGTTTGAAGAGACAAGGACAAATGAAACAGGAAGTCATACATTCCTAACTTCCTGTTTCATTTGTCCTCGTCTCTTCCAACCGGATATTATCCAACTATCAGTATTTCAATCATGAGACTAATAAACAGCGAACTACTCCATCATTTGATGTATTCATCGTTTTTATGTTGTCCACTTTATCATAGAAAGATCAAAGAGCCACCCCTGTTGGACTTTTACTTATAGTCGAGCTCGTATTAATTTGACTTAATTTGACTAAGAAAATAAGATGAATAATTAATATTATTTAGTTTGAGCGGCTAATGTTACCTCAATTTAATAAAGCTCATGCGAACTGCATTGTTCCCAAGATCGAGTTTTAAAAGCAATCTTGACATAACCTTTCATTCTGCCTCAAATGACAAAAGTAAGCAATAAGCATGCAATGTCCATATAAATAGAGCTGTGCTATTGTTTGAGAAGCTGCAGTCTTTAGTTTTGAGACTGTTGGAGCTAGCCGCGGTACTGAAGTCGGTCGGCGCACTAACAATATCTTTGCAAACACTTTTTAAATGGTGTATAGCTGTGCCAGTCACCGACCGATAATGTTAAAATCCTCAGCTCCTTTATCAAAACCACATTGAAAGTCGTTCCACTAAAATCCTAACCGTTCCTCCATTCTCGGTCATTTTGTGTTTCAGATAATCCATTCGTTCAGATTTTTCGTTTCATGTTTTAAAAAGTCTGGTTTAAGTTCTGTATATGATAGGGCAATGAGTTTTATGCCATTAGATTAGTAGAAACTACATCAGGGTTAAACAACTTTTCACTTTTTTGTCAGATTTTAATTGTTTTGATGTGTTAAAATCCCCTGCTCTTTTCGATTAATTGTTTTGATTTCATTGAAAGCATTTCTTTACGTTGTGGTGTCGGTGTTTGAGTCGTAACCTCGAAGCCGTACGTGTTGACCATATCTCTTTGTGTAAAGCTGTGCCGGTCACCAGCTTTTTAAAATATTCTGCTTCTTTATAAAAACTCTCATTTCCCGTAAAAACTCTTACCGTTCATCACAAAGATATCCTGTGTCAGATGCTACGATTTATTTAAGATACAACTTTATTTCCAGACTAGTTTTAGATTTCAGATAGTAAATAGTTGGATTTATAGTAAATTTCGTCCTTCTAGAACGCAGATACACTTTATAACGTGTAGATTTTAGTTCTTTTATCGAAGGTATTTCTTCCTGTTCCTGAGTTGGCGTTAAGTGATTGATCTTCGGATAATCTCGCACATATTCGTATGAGGCTCTATTAATTTAAAGCTATAATATGCACATAATATGCACATGTAAAACTCTTTATTTGTTTCACATTGGCTTTAATGGTGTTTTTTACCTTTTGATTTTATTGTGAGGTAAAAAAGCAAATCTCGGCTTCGCCTCACTCTTATGTCGTCTCAGCACAGTCATATCTTCCGCAGAAGATCTCATTTATTCGATTTTTAATATCTTCTCCAATTATAATCTACAAGTTAAGAGCTTTACCATGTAGGTAATTAAGTTTCAAGATATGTTCGACTAATGTAGTGCACTGAATAACAGTTACACTCTACGATACAAGCAGGCTTTTAAACACATGCACGATAAGCAACACGTATAGCACGCATATATCAGGAGCGACAAACATATCTACTTTGACTTGCCACGCCGTCATGTTTTGTAATAATAGTGCAGTGGTTTTAGAAATTATTGTGAGAGTCTCCCGCCGTTAAATTGCTTGTCTTTCACTGTTAGTTTCCATGTCTAATGTCAATGTTTCTGTCACTCTAGTAGTTTTGTCCTTATTGTTGTGATTGCCATGACTTGCAGGTGATTTTTCAGAGTCACCGATTGTTTTGTTCAATGGTTGAGTATTATTAAGAATCTTCTTTAATAATATAGTTATTTAATAAGTAAGTTTGTACCACTCCATGCTAGTGTTAGGATTTAAAGTTTATTTTTGTTGGGATGCACTTTGTATAGAGCCTACTTTTCCTAGACAGTTTTATTTTAAACTGCAGAAAACTTTGTCGACGTTTACTTTATAGGTGCATTCTCTGGCAACATTCCTGCAGAATTAGGTTTCTAAAACTAAAATTTTGAATGTTTCAACTTCAAGCGACCTTCAATTCTCAAATCCGAGGAAACTTTGTTCGACTTGAGATATTGTCAAAGTCGGTGACTTCACACTTTTTATTCTCAGGTGCAGTCCAACTTCATATTCCATTTCTGCCGCTTAAATCAAAATTATATTAGAATGGGACTTTAAAATCAGGGATAACACTGAATTTAAAACCAATGATAACATTGGATTGACTTCTTTGACGGCGATAAAGTAATACATGGTTATTTCCGTTTGGTTTCTTTTGGAGATTGGAGCTCTTTAACGACCGTTTAGATTTCAATGTTTACTGTTATTAAACGATCGCTAAATTTCCGTGTCGTATTGAGACTAAGATGCTCAAAAATTCAAAATACTCGGCCTGATCTTTAATCCATGCTTGATAAGCTATAAAGCCTCGACGTCGGCATATTTACTGCTCTGTGTGGGACTAAAAGTCAAACAATTCCTGGATTCTATTCAAGCAAGTGTTTAACATCAGCTAAACTTGGAGAGTTCGGTACACATGAAACGATGGACATTGGTCTGTGTTAATTCTGAGACGGCACTGCCACGGTGCTTCATCAATCAGTATGTTGAATAATCATTGTCGAATAATTATCGTTGAATATACTTTGTGCTCGTATATTAATATATCGATATGTAATCTAGAGTAAGCTGTTTTGTATAGATTGGTGTCAGTAGTTAGAGAGAAATTGTAATGGTAATAAAAGTTGGCTTCCTTAGAATTAAGTACCATTGTATCTGGCTTGAGACTGGTTGTCATGCCTCCCACGTGACCTTCCGCACCACTTATACTTGTTATACCGCTTTAAACTTAAAATAAAGTTAAACTCCCCCTGCTTATCACTCCTCAACTGTGAACAGTCCCTTTAATTGATTTCATATCAGGGGATCGTTAACTAGAAGCTTTAACGGTAGGTCGACTCCGACTGCTCTACTGCGTTTCAGTGCTTGTCGAATTTTTGTAAAACTCCCGACATTACTTCTACGTGTTTAAATTAGTTTTTTCTGCGGTAACGTGTTCACTTCATGTTTAGGAGATTTTTATTCTAAATCGCAAAATTTGTTTCGTCTAAATCTAAATCTTTTAAATGTTTTGATTTGCTGAATATGTGATATATGTTGAGAAATATGAGATGTTTTCAATTGACAATTTTATGATTTTGTAATAATCGCTAGTATGCACTGGCTTTTATTTTGTCCTGAAATTCAAGAAACCTTCTAAAGTAGCTATTAGCTGAATTTAAGCTCAATGCGCAACAAATAATTCAAAAAAAGAGATTATTTTCGATGATAGTAAATAAAAAAATCATCAAAAACCAGGCACTGAAATGGTGCAGATGTCGTCCACTTCATCTCTTCCAGATCTTAAAACCCGAAATGAAGTTTCTAACTCCCGAAATGATGTCCCCAAATCACGTGATTTGGAGTTGGAGGATGTTGACGATTCTCGACTGTACAATAACTCCTCGGAGGATCAGAGATCCTCTCTATACCTTCAAAACCACGCTGTTACAAATAGTGATAAAGCGTGTGAGGTCCTCAGAGTGAGTATTGTTAGAACCATGATGATTGTGGAGTTTAGTTTACCTAATTTAATGTATTGCCCACTGTTGTTGATAGATAAAAAAGATTAGGTAAAGATAAGGTTAATGTGGAAGGTGAAATACGGAGGGTACACTAAAATGTTACCTACTAAACCTTCCTAACTAACACCTTATCCCAGAACTCAGTAGAAGACGCAGTAAGGGATCTCAGACAAAGAGCTACCCTCCTAGAAGCAGGTATCGCACAAAGAAAGGAGAAAGTCCTGAAGTCTTTAGTGCAGGGCAAAAACGTCAATATCTCATCGTCTTCTTCTTCTTCTTCTTCAGCCAGCTCGGTAAGTTGTACTCAGTTAATCCAGAGGCTAGCATTGCCACACTCAGTAATCGGGTCATTCAGCATCGCTTACCAATCGACTTGCTATCACTTTTTAATTTCACTAAAGGCGGGCTGGGCTCTTACGGTCACCAAGCCGAATTCGATAATGGCAAAATTCCCTGATTAGTGATTGTCTTTTATTTCAGACCCTGAGTGACTTGTTCAAGCTGCTGGATCGTCGAAATTACATAAAAATATCGAACGGTGGAGCTTCTATAGTGGACTACAAGTAGTTATTCATCATTCTTCTGTAGTTTATAGTTATTTTTACATGTTATCGAGTTTAAACAGTTATAAGATCGAACATACGTTAAAAAGTATTAGAAATTCATAATTTGTTCAATGAGACGGAAGAAAGATCAGTGGGAGTAGAGATGGACGACAGAATACAGATCAATGAGAAGCTGTAACTTAAAATAATAACTCTCGTAAATTTCAGAGAGTTTATGTTTTTCGACAGAGGCTCAGCCCGGCACCTGAATCACTCTATCAAGACACTTGGAGATCCTTCTTTTAACGTGTCTTACAGCAGAGATTACGATGCTATTGCTCTTAATCCGGAGATATTCGGTTCACCCGGCAATAAACTGGACGAGTTCCGCGGGTCAGTACTACTGCTTTTAATATTTTTAATTATATGATAGAACTAGATTTACATACCTGAGACGGAACAGATAGGGCTGCTTTAAATTACAAGATGCTAAGATGAAACCAGCAAGATTACACCTATTATATCTAATCCCTCCAAACTGCTATTTATATTCATGTCACCATGATACGTTTCCAGGCCGACAGCTATAACCACGGATGCTCGTCATACGTACGTGTGCGACAGTATGAACTGTAGGATCGTTGTTTATTCAGACGATAATCAGCCGCTCTATTCCATCGGTCAAAAAGGTACGTGCTCTTGATCAAAATGTCATACACACTGATATTGATAACGGAGTACTGTAGACTACACGTGCTGATAACACACTACACGTACTGATGGAAGTACCTTTCAGGTCAAGCCAATGGAGAGCTGGACAGGCCGAGCAGTGTCGCTGTGGATGAGACCGGACAATTGTACGTAGCGGACTCTTTTAACGACAGAATATGTATCTATTCCACTGAGGGGGACTGGAAATTCAATGTTGGGGGACGCGGTTAGTTTTTATTGCTATTTCTATAGTCGACTGTCGAGTTATCCTTCTTGGTGAATGTTCATGAGAAATACATAATAATTTGATAGTTAAACAAGACATATCTATGGGGTGAGGGGTAAGTTTACCTCAAAATTCTTTTTTTGGTTGCTCAATTCAAAACTTTTGAGGTTGTAATGTTGTTGATGTTGTTATATTATATTTTCCATAGGTGACAATGGTAGGTATTAAAGAAAAGACATGTTTTGGAACCCTTCTTAAAGTCTCTCTAACAATCTTTGAGGGGCTATTTTATATTTCCAGCTGTGGCTAGTTTTGTGGCATGCTCGTTGCAAGTGCATGACTTATACTCCGCGCTATGATGCATTCTGAAGTCTGATGCGCTCTTAAAATTTGAAATCTCAGACCATGACTATTGACTTGGTTGCGTATCTTGCTAAGCATGCTTACTTACAGCACTGCCAGTACCTACCTGATACATTGATCCACTACGTTACTTACCACCCCCAGGGAAGTTGAACAAGCCACGAGGAGTTGCATGTGCTAAAAACGGAGAGATATTCGTCGTCAGTGACACGGGGAATCAGCGCATATTGGTGAGTTCTTCCTACTTTATTTTCACTTTCACTTTCACTTTCACTTTCACTTTCACTTTCACTTTCACTTTCACTTTACTGACTAAATGAAAGCAATCAGTGGTCACCGCCTTCTAACAATTTCTTTAGAGTGGTACTTCAAGTACCACTCATAGGACGTGAATCTCATCTCCGTCAAGACAAGTGAGACAAATAGCTCTATTATGTTCAGGTGTACTCCGGCAGTGGTACTTGTAAGGGAAACTTCGGGAAACTGGGGATGAAAGAAGGGCAGTTCGTCAGACCACAGGGAATCGAGATACACGTGAGTTAACATCATGGCATGCTATTGTGGATGTTGGATTTTATAGCACCCAATTACTCGGTTATCTCTCAAACATTTAAGTGAGCTTTCAGAGTAAATCACGCTCATTAGACATTATTTCATTATACCAAATTTTGAATATCTTATTTCTTATCCAAACGAATGTTTCCAGCAATGCGTAGCTCTTACTCAGCATCTACCCCCCCCCCCCCCCCATCTACCATTTTACAATTTTCTAAACACTATCTAACAACGCTATCTGCAGGATAACAAAGTGTACGTGTCCGACTCTTTTAACTATAGAATTCACATATTCGACATCGAGGGGAGACTCTTAGGTGAGCTGTTTTTAATTTTTGAGCTTGCTTTTACAGATCACCCAAGTTTATTGTCACACCATATGTCGCGTTTGTGAAAAATGCTCTACACCAGAAAAGATCTCTTCCTGAAGAGAAAGATCAAACATTGTCTAGCAGTAGCGGTTCTAAAGGATAATTCTTCTTTTCAGATAGCATTGGGAAGCAGGGTAGCGAGGCGGGAGAGTTTGAAGAACCACGTGACATTGCTATTGATACTAACGGGAACGTTCTGGTAACGGACACCAAGAAGAACAGTCTTCAGATATTTGATAAAAACGGCAGCTTTATCAGGGTAAGGAGTTTAGTTTGAGGACTAAGAAAGGGGTATCAAGTCTTTATCAGGAGTGTGCTATCTGTCAGTTGATATCATTGTCATGCTTAAAATTGCTATCACCTTACTTCTCGATCGGCTTTCGTATTACCACGAATTATTTATACTGTAAAAATAAGGTAAATCTTGGTACAAAGCTAATTCTGGTCACCTTCTTTTTGTCTAACATGACGGACACAGTCGTCTTGATAAATTGAGATCTGTTAAGGTATTTAAATAATATAAACGGGCTGTTTGCAGGAATACGGGTCGACGGGGAATGGAGTTCATCAATTTGACGGTCCGGAAGGAGTGCACTCCGACGAAATAAACAGAGTGTTTATAGCTGACAGGAAGAACGACAGAATTCAGATCTTATGAACACTCAGGGTTCAGATCTTATGAACATTTAGGGTCCACATCTTATGAACATTCAGAATTCAGATCTTATGAACATTCAAGTTCCAGATCTTATGAACATTCAGAATTCAGATCATATGAACATTCACATTCAGAATTCAGATCTTCACAATCAGAATTCAGATCTAAAAAAACGAAGAAGTTTTATCTTATGAACGCTAAGACTTAATATAAACTCTCAGCGTTCGATTAGGGTCGATTATAAGATAGCATACAGAAAACTTGTTAAGCACAGCTGTGCACAGTTCTCAAGTCTCTACCACACCTTCAACCATTGAGATCACACCGGGGTTGAGTCTGTTAGAGACCATCGCACTGGTCTTGGATTTGTGGCTAATTTGATAGTTCGTTCGGAATCTTAATGTTAAAAAGTGAAACAACGAATTTTATATTATATTTTTTGAAGCGATTAAATAATTGTGATCTCACTAATCTATTATTGATAATTACATGGTATAATTTGACCAAAACCCATAATTGGGTAAAGTGGACCGCTGCCAGTGTCTCTCTTTCCCAAACAAAAGGAAATGATATTAATTTGAATGACCGTCTGCAAATGCAAAATGATACCAAGAATGAAATCGGTCGCTCGCTTTTCCCAATTACTCCTTAATGGTGTAAAATCGGTTTGAAAAGTTGTTACTTTGTCAAAAATCAAGTTTTAAAAATGGTTTACTTGATGACGTCATCAATGATCAAGTGGTGATGATGACGTTAAATTATTTTTTGATATAACGTAAAATAAATTCGAAACAATTATTTTTAAGACCTGTGGTCCGAGATGGCTGTATCTTTAAAGCTTTTGAATCTACGGACACTTGAATATAGGCTACAATTGACTACAATTAACTGTCAAAACGTCTATACATGCATATAATCACCTTAATAACACCAGAATGTGTGTGCGTGTGTGTCTGTCTGTCTGTCTGATCGTCTGTGTGTCCTTGTGTAATTTCCGGTAGGTTATATCAAAAAAACGGTAAGAGTTACGGGACTGGTTTTTTCGGTATAGTGTCGACAAAACTCTGACGAAGCCCTCAAGCAAAATTGTTTTAAATCGGTCGGTGGTAATTTAAACTTAAGTTTAAACTTAAGTGGTTTAATTGATGGTTTTGTACCAAAAATGTGACATAAAATAGCTTGAGCAGAACGGAAAGAGTTACGGGGCTTGCTCTCTCTCTCTCTCATTACTGTATTATTTGACGGATGTTAATCGTCTAAATTTTTTCGAAGTAGCGCGCGCCGCTTTCTTCTCGACGGCAAGTGCTACGAAGTAGCGCGCGCCGGGCCAGATCATTAACAATGGTCAACTGTATTATAGCGTCATAATTGGGTTAGCCCAGGAAGATTCGCTGTAATGTTATACCATAAGCTTATTAGGGGAGGGGGACTGTTAGTGTTTGGGGTCTGTTTGGACTGCAGAGAGACCCAGAAACCCTTACTGGTAGGGGCCTAACTTCGAAAATAAAAAAGATAGAAACGTCTGGTTTTCAACAAAATGTTCGCCTTGTAAAAATAACGTTCCCCCCCCCCCCCCCCCCCCCCCCCCCCCCCCCCAGGGGGAAAATTCAAAACAATGTAGATTTTGAATTATCGCGAAAAGTCTTATTTTGGGCCTTATAAAAGTACACAGCTTTAACTTTGCGGATTTCTGTACTCTGATTGGCTGAATTGTGTCACGTGCTAGCTGTTTGAACAGTGGAATGCGCCACGCGTGCAAATCATGCTTGATGTCGCGCGCGAGGTCGAGCCGTCTGTTTAAATTAAACCAACTCTAGTACCACCACCAGCCAGTAACTTTTCCTGGGTACGAATAGTAACCAATTAGGGCTACCAAATGCTGAACACAAGGATATTTCGTATTCGGATCATATGCCTGCAGGCTGTCTGTCGCTTAAGATCACGGTCGCTCTTAACTGAGCTCTTAAGTGACGTTAAGTGAGACCGTGAGCACCACTTCTTGCCAATTTGCTTTTGAATTACGGCCCAATCATGAAGTGAAACAGTACAATTAGTTGTGTTTTAACGGCAAAATACAGCGAATTCTAGCCCTTGAAAGTTGTAGGTTTGGAAGATCAATACGGCTGCTTTAATTCTTAAAAGTCTTAAGTTAGAACGGCCAAAACACCCTATTCGGCGTCAGTCAGCTGCACCCAGAAACCCTTACTGGTAGGGGCCTAACTTCGAAAATAAAAAAGATAGAAACGTCTGGTTTTCAACAAAATGTTCGCCTTGTAAAAATAACGTTTCCCCCCAGGGGGAAAATTCAAAACAATGTAGATTTTGAATTATCGCGAAAAGTCTTATTTTGGGCCTTATAAAAGTACACAGCTTTAACTTTGCGGATTTCTGTACTCTGATTGGCTGAATTGTGTCACGTGCTAGCTGTTTGAACAGTGGAATCTCTTGCCAATTTGCTTTTGAATTACGGCCCAATCATGAAGTGAAACAGTACAATTAGTTGTGTTTTAACGGCAAAATACAGCGAATTCTAGCCCTTGAAAGTTGTAGGTTTGGAAGATCAATACGGCTGCTTTAATTCTTAAAAGTCTTAAGTTAGAACGGCCAAAACACCCTATTCGGCGTCAGTCAGCTGCACCCAGAAACCCTTACTGGTAGGGGCCTAACTTCGAAAATAAAAAAGATAGAAACGTCTGGTTTTCAACAAAATGTTCGCCTTGTAAAAATAACGTTTCCCCCCAGGGGGAAAATTCAAAACAATGTAGATTTTGAATTATCGCGAAAAGTCTTATTTTGGGCCTTATAAAAGTACACAGCTTTAACTTTGCGGATTTCTGTACTCTGATTGGCTGAATTGTGTCACGTGCTAGCTGTTTGAACAGTGGAATGCGCCACGCGTGCAAATCATGCTTGATGTCGCGCGCGAGGTCGAGCCGTCTGTTTAAATTAAACCAACTCTAGTACCACCACCAGCCAGTAACTTTTCCTGGGGAGAGTTCATACGACAATGTTATGCGTGTTTTCAAATATAATAGGCGGGTGTGGTGCGGAGTTAACAAGGGTTAATTTCTATAACGATTTAAATAAAAATGGAAAGCGGTTCAAGACTTACTGGGCGGCGCTCAGCCTGTCATTCCGCCAAATCTTTATGAACATAATAGCCTGGAGTCCCCATGTAATTCAAGACGGGAGTGATGAGGTGTAATAGTCGGTGTTCAGACCTTATGATCATGGAATGTGGTGCCTCGGCCCTCATGGCTAATAATGACTTAATTATCCACAAGAAATAACTGATTATGAGATTATTGTTTAAAATGCTATTGGGTCACCTAATGCGGGTTTTGACTCAGCGGGTAAATACGCATACCCTTTTTAACTGCGGCAGTGAAATCCCGGCCGAAGGCCGGGTTACACTAGTAGATATTCATATACTTCACGACAATCTGTTTTAAAACAGGGGTTCCAGAAATCCCACTTCCCGATACTCCTAAAACTTTTTTGCAGTCGATTTGGTTAACGTCCTGCACAATTTCAGAACTCAATTTTCACATGGTTTTTAAAGGACCAGTTAACTGAAAAAAAAGTTATCCTCATATTTTGACAGATTGTGACAAATAGCAAACTAAGCAACGAGTCGAAATTCCTAAATCTCTAACTGCTCTCTAACGCGTGTAAATAGCGTTTGTATTATTTTGGCGATGACGTCATAAAGTCCCTCTTGCGCGCAGAGTAGCTCGTGAGACTGTATTTTACAGGTAAAAAATGGACATAATACAATCTTTTCCCCCGAATAACTCGAAAAGTAAGTAATTTAGGGTACATGTTGCTTCATAAGTTGTATATAAACATGGCCATTCTGCACAATTTGCACACATTCAAAAACCTTTAGGGCCTTCATAGCCCAATTAACCAGATACCCATAGTTTTGCATGATTTCTGGAACCGGAAATCAGTTTTTCGCCAATAACTGAAAAAGTAAGCACTTTAAGGCATATGTTTGTTCGTAAGTCATATATTAATATGCTAATTGCGGTTCTTTTGCATCCTGTCTGAAGACTCCATCACGATCATATCGAAAATGGGCTTAGCACCACGCCCAAAATGGTTTTTGGCGAATTTATCGAAAAGTAAGGATTTTAGGCCATGTGTTGCTCAATAACTCCTATATAAACATGCATATGCGGCTTCGTTCAAGCCTATTTTGAAGTCTCTACGACCTTCAGAAGCAAGGGGTCGGTTACGTTATTGGGTCAATAATGGCGTGGCCCTCCTGGGTTTTCTCCACGGTCAAAAAAATGTCTCCAAACGAAAATCGTTTAATCATAACTTCGGGAAGGTCTGTGCAAAGTTTCGTGAGTATTAGAACATTTGCAGGTTCATTTCCATAAATGTCCATAAATGACTGGACTACACATTACACAACTTTAGAGTTAACTTTAGAGAAACTCATAAGTCATTTATCTCAAATTAAGCTGTTAGTGTCCATGATCAACCTCTGGCGACAATGTTTTACGTGAAATGTAAAAATCAGGAGTAATATAAAAAAGGTATTTTTAGATTAAAGTGCTAGCTCATAGTTTTAGAATTGTATAGATTAACGTTGGTCATTTAGCCATCTAACAATCGATCGTGCCGTAATATATGGCCAGAGAATAATAGGGTCTTGGAAATTCTATAGTTGTTCAGTGGGTCGATCGACTGAACACGTTTGCACTTGGTATTTAAACTTACCAGTAGTTTATTTATGTTATGCACCGATGATAATGCAATTAGGATAACAACTAGGTAACCCGGAAGTCTAATTCAAAACACACCTCACACCGTACACACCTCCAATCAGTAATTTTACTATTTGGTAGACCGGGTATTTTGGCGGGAATTCTGTTCCCACGGCACTGTTCTGATAGTAGCTACTTCTACTAATGGTCCCAGAGGAACGGCCGTAAAGTAGCCAGACTTCTTGTCTCCTGTACTGGCAGACACTTGCAGATTAAAGTTAGAAATTTCGCTATGCTATAAATATAATTGCTCTCGGAATTGAACAAACTCCTACTTATAATTTATAACTTATCTGTATCCTTTCTAAATTCGTTAGAGTTTCATGGACTGGGGAAAAATAATCGGTACAGTCTCCCTGCTTGTGTAATTAAGCAATGAAAACAATCCAAAATTATCACATATGCTAGTCCCCTGCTACACGGCATGTAAACAGGGCTTGGCTAGTTAGAGGCGGTCCGTGTAGGCCTTACATTGTGCTTTCAGCAATACTCATAAGTTGTAATAGCAGAAACTTTCTAACCGTACATTCACCCGCCACTGTTCAAGAACCTATATCACTGTTTAAAATCATGACGTGAGCACTGTACATCCAATCAGCTATTCCTTTAGTTAGGATGATAGCCAAAACAATAAGGATTTTGGAGAACTAGGGTAATAGTCATAATTCTAAAATTTGAGTGAGTTACACGTGTTTTATTGACGATGATAAACATTTGTAATGTAAATTACGCTATGCAAGCGCGCACTGAGGGACTTTATGACGTCACGAGGCCACAGCTTATTATTGCAATAACACGCGTTACACGTACGCTAGAGAGTTGGTTCTTTCGGCGATACGATTCTTTACCAGTTTGTCACAGCTGATTTAAATCTTAGCCAAATTAGAGACTACAAATTTTTCAGTTAACTGGTCCTTTAAGGCACCTGAATATGGCGATTTTGGGTTTTTTTACCGAATTTCATATATGTATATCAGTGCTGGTGCGTATTTTGCGCAAATTTCTTAAAAACCTCCACATAACTATTTCTTATTCCCGTCATCTTTGACATTGAATTATAATGTTTTGAACTTAAAATATGCCTGCTGGACGACTTTCGATTAGTCTTAATAATGCCTGAAAAACAGTAAAGGGGGTATAATATTAATGGTATAGGGCCAGGCGTAAATAGTACAGTGAGTATAATGGCGGCGGTCGTGCTTGCCAGCACTGAGCACTGAGATATAAAATACCCCGGTATATTTACCCTCTTACACCGTAAGACTAGGAGTATATTAAACTAACTTAAGAAAAACCAATGCCAAAAAATTCGACTACAGACTTAAACTAACGCACAGTGCACATCTTTTTCTAAAAACAAAATTAATTTGCTATTAGTATTACCAATTACTTTGTAGCGCGATCGGCGAGATGCGCTACTGTGCCGCGCCGAGCTGCCATGAATTGACATCGTCAATTAACAATTACTATTAGTTTCAACTGTACTTTGAGCAGGGGTGTAGGAATGATTTTCTTCATGGGGGGGGGGGGGGGGGGGGGGGGGGGCCAAATTCTAAATATTTTTTGGCGCCAAAGCCTGAAACATGAACAAAAGTAATTTCCAGAAAAACTCGTTTCCGAGCTCGTATTGCGAAGGGCCGGGAGGCCTGTCTTCAGAGATCGCATTACAAAGGGAAACACTCGAGTCCAAAATCGTATATCGAACTCCGAAAACCGAAAAAAATATTTTTGGCTCATAATGATCAGGGTAGCATGAAACATGAACAAAAGTAGTTTCCAAGAAAACTTTGAAAATGTTTGACTAAATGAAAAAGTTGGCCCTTTTTGGCCCCTCGCCCCGCTTCCTACACCCCTGACTTTGAGTTATACATATTTTATACGAAAACAATAAGAATAGAAGTACAATATAATTTAACCGAATAGTTTAGGCTTACCTGGGTACATATCAGTATCACCTAATCTAGAAGGCCTGTGGTCACAGTACAGGGAGTAAGCTAATAGTTTTCTTTGATTTTCAGTTTTATCGCATCAAAAATATCCATCCCAACCGAAGATATAGCCGATTTAAATGTAAAGCACTCCACAAAACGTAATATTAATAACCGCAAAAGTCAAAACTGATCAAATGTCGATTGCAAATCTTTACATGGGAACGTGCTCGTTTCCATACTATTAGTATTACTATGGATCACATTAACGAATCTTATGCAACATGCTAACAATTTACCAATACCACTGCAAACTTCACTCGTTTGGTTCCTTTGCACAATCGGAGCAGATCTCCGCGCTCACTTTCTCTCCGTTGTGCTGGAAAGTGTAGGTGGAAGTTTTGTCTTCCTTCAGTGGTTCCTTGCACCCCAAACAGGTCTTGTAGGTTATGGGCCCTTTCCGAGTTGAGAACACTCGCCAAACTCGCTGGAACAGAGAGAAATCCGCATTCCGTTCTCTGCAGCTCATCTGCAGGAAGGAAAATGGTTATTTTCCCTTTCTTATAAACGTTATTAATCATTTATAGTAGGGAGGTGGTGCAAGTGGTAAACCAATCAACGAATATCACATCGAGCAATCAACTCCAAATATAACTGTAGCCTTTCAAAACAAACTTGAATACCGCTGAAATACTGGCACTGGCAGCGATTAAACAAGAGAAAACACCGTTAAGGGGGGGGGGGGGGGGGGGGGGGGGGGCCAATGGGTATTTTTTTGTGAAACTTGATTTCGAGATAGCAGTTATATCGAAATACCAACAAACTAGGACCAGTGACCGAACTTTTAAGGGGGTCCCGGACCCCAACCGCCAAACGGTGCCCGCGGGGCAGCCACGCACATATTTGGTGCAACTCCAAATTATATGCCCAATTTAGCCAAGTACCCTGAACATGCCCAAAACCCAGGTTTATGGTGCTCTACTTGTAGTCTGTAGATAGTGGTCTTCTGAACTCGTATATGAAATTTCATCAAGATTGGACAAAAAAGACTGAGTTATGAGCCAAAAACCATATGCCCATATTTGGGCATACGCACCAAATTTGGGAGATTTCGTCCCATAAATTGGTCAAATATCAATATTTTTGAATAAAACTTACTTTATATGAAAGGTAAGCCTAAACTACATACTTTCTGTAAGTTATAGCTTTATATGGGAACCGGTCACTGCGGCGGAAGTCACTGCGGCGGTGGACGGTACAGCGGAGGACGGTACAGCGGAGGACGGTACGGCGGTAGTTTCCAAAAAGGTTGGACGGTACGGCGGATCACATGACACCCACTTTACTTTGGACAGTACGGCGGTACTACTACTAGAAACTGTACCTAAGACAGAACTTACACATTCAACTTGTTTCTAAGTTTTGTTCTATATTCGCATTATAAGTTTTATTTTTTCTTTTCTCTTTATCATTTTGTATAATTCTTGTTAGTTTAGTTGTTACTTTTTTTATTCAGGGCTTTGCAGACAATGTAAATCGAGAATATTGAGTTGTTGAAAATCAAAAAGTGAATATAACTTGACACACTCAATAGCAATAATATCTAAATCCCAAGTGATGTGATGAAGTTGTAGATGGTGGGGTTGGAGTGTCCAAGGATAGCGGAGAACTTCTTGTTCCAGGACTCCACAAAGTTGTTCGTTCTGTTCATGTGAAAGTGGGTCCGATCGTAAGCGTTCCAGGAGAGTGGAGGGAACTTAGCTCGTCCAGTACCAGAGGAGGTGGTGAGTCCCTGGATCCATGTCGTCTGGAAGTAGGCGAGGAGGTCGTCGATGTCCAAGGTCGGTGGCATCTGGTCCAGGATACGTCCGGGACGTCCGCTGTAGGAATGTAGGCGAGGATCATCAGTCTGCGTATCCAGATCCGGCAGAGGCACATATTAGGTGCGGTAAAAAAATGGAAATTATGCGGTACCGCACCCGACTATAAAGGTAAAATGTGCGGTAAGGTGCGGTAAATTTTTACCAATTATGCGGCAAATGTGCGACGATTTTTTCGAAATTTGTGCGGGAATTGTGCGGTTTTCTTTTGTATTTTCTGAAGGACTTTGGAAATTCTAAACGTATAACCGCCGCTCTTATCAAAAATAGGTCTCTTTATGTGTTACTGAGGGTGTAGTTCTTTACTAAGTCCATGATTGAACCTATATTGAGATTCAGTTATCTGAGAACAGTGACTTGATCTGGTAGAGATCAGGAGACAGTTATTTGAAGACGCCTCTTGATAGAGTCGATCAGATCCCATGCGTGATCGCAAATATGTGACACGCTTGTTGGCATTGATCGTCAGTAATTGTAAACCATTTGATCCAAGATCCATAAAGCCCGTTGTGCAGACCGGACGCGATCTGATACGAACCAGAAAGAGGAACAAGAACTGCTCTTAGTAATCACAATGTATATGTTAAGCTCTATCCAATTTAATTTTAATTAAATTTAATTTCGAAGTAACAAAGAGGAAAATAGAACTTTTTATAGCTAATCGATTTTGTTATATTAGCAGTGCTAGGTCTATCTTATAGGTACAGTTTCTAGTAGTAGTAGTACCGCCGTACTGTCCAAAGTAAAGTGGGTGTCATGTGATCCGCCGCACCGTCCAACCTTTTTGGAAACTACCGCCGTGCGTCCTATACCCCTTTATATCTGTTTAAATGTGGATACTGAGGCGAAAAGACCACAAAAAATGAACTAAATTGCCCGTATCTTGGTTCGCGATATTCGCGGAATTGATTTCATTAAAATTGTAACAACTCAATCAGTTTTCAAAATTTTCCATGAAATTTTCGGAATCGACTCAAAAACGCATTTCCACCTTATTTTGAGAACGGATTTTTGATTTGGGCCTCCAAAAAATTTGGAGGGAAAATGTTGGAATTTGGCCGCCAAATTTTTGGCGGCCAAATACTGAAGAAATCATCCATTATTTTCTGAGATCATATTAATCACATTACGATTGGTTTTCATAACTAAACTCAATTTGAATAACATGTACCTCTCTGTGTAGAACGAGTCCCAGTTGCAGCTGCCTCGCTCTTCTTCCCGACATTATTTTTCTGGGGGAAAAGTAATTTAACCAGAATTTGCAGAAATTGCAGTTTTATTCACAAAAAGATGCAAAGTATATTATAGTATATTTGAAGCAGGACTCATTATTGATATTAACATTATTGTGTACGTCGGACATACAGTAATGTAAAGAGTTTGTTATTCTCTTACTTGTGAAGAAAGACGGCCCTCTCTTGAGCTCGTTGGGGGTAGTAAGCGTTGCAGATAATCGGCCTGAGACGACTGAAGTAAGCTTCGATCACACAAGAAAGTAATGCAGTGATTATAATAGCGAATATAGGCCATATCGAAGAAGTCTCCGTCCTCTGTGGGCTTGGCAAACATTCGTCCGTGGAGAGGTCGAATCCATCGATCTTTATCGTGTTGGAGAGACTCTGGCCTGCTGCTTCTTTCAGGGTGCTTCCGAATGAAATCCCCTGTTCCATTCCAGGGAATGTGATTCCGAAACTTGCATGTTCTTTGAATACCTCGAGAGTAATAGCAAAGAGATAGTCCGTGAGTAGGATGCCAGAGATGACAATTGCGGCACAGAGACTTGGGACACTTTCCTTAACCAAAGATATTGTTTCCTTTTTGCTTAAAATCATGCTGACTGCAAGATGGTACTTCTCATTAAGCTCCCAGCATCTCATCGGAGTCACCTTAGGCTTTTTCTCTTTCTCGCAGATCTCCTTAAAACTGTGGTTGATGGTCATGTTATCGAACGCATCATCCTTGTTAAATGAGAGTACGTAAGCATATGTATCATAGATAATAAGGATAATGCTTATGTAGAAAATCTTGGAAGCCCATCGCGCTATAACTTTCGAAGATTCGAAAGCGTGCACGAAGATTCCTTGAAGTGTCTCACGGATTCTTCGAATACTGCTTGAATCGATCTTCGCTGCAAGCATATCCAAGTCCATATTGATGAGGTCTAAGTTCGGATTTAGGTCCTGGACAATGTTTTTCAGTGCATCCAAAGGGATCCCATCAAACGCAGATATATCTACATCTGGAACATCCACTAGGTTTGGTGGGTCACAGGAACTGGAAGACCTCTTCCTATGCCGAGAGAACCAACCTCCAACCTCATTAAGAATAGCCCCTCCAGCCGCAGTTACACCATCGCAGGCAGATGATAGAATACCACCTGGGGCATTCAGCACATCTGAAATACTTTCCGCTGCTTCCTTCATTTCTTTCATCTTTTTTTCCACGTCTCGTTTCGTAGCCTCAATATCTGCTCGTGTTTCTGCAGTCGCATTCTCAATATCCTTCTCTAGCTGAGCAAGATAAGCTTTGGATGCATCGTTCACCATAACAAGGATATTGTTCAACTGCTCCATGATTTTAACAAACTGTTCCACGAACCTTTGAGCCATACTTTTCATCTCGTGGTACATGCATGTGAACGAACGGACTACCTCTTGAACATTGTGTTCTAGCGTGGAAAGTGGTCCCTCAATCACTAGCGCCAGTGCAAAGCTGAACATGAAGCTTCTCCCACGCTTTGTCAGCAGACTTGGTAAAATGAGGACCATGTTGCATCTCACCCTGGTAGAGAAGACACTGGTGAGGGCTAGTCCGGACCCCACCACTGCACCAACCCCGCCTCCCACTAGGTGACTTGTTCTCTTACTCATCAGGGCCTTCTCGTTAATGTTAGTCTGGTTGAGTCCTGCTGTCCAACAGGAGGTGTTGGTGGGACTGCAGCTAGAGTTGTCGGGTGCTGTGAAGGGTAGTCCTGCTAGTATAAGATGGGTGATGTAGAGGTAGAGAAGAAGTCCATAAATCGGACCAATCAGTAAGCCTGCTAGTCGGCGCTGTGATATATATGCTAGGAAGGCAGCGGGTGTGTAGCGAAATCTTCCAGTTTGAGATTTTTGTTCTCGGACATTGTTTACAGTTACAAGCTCGAACTTCTCGATCATAGAGCAGACATCGGCTGATGACCGAGTATCGGCAGCCATTCTTGTAACCAGATTAGAAATTATCTGATCATAAATAATGTTAATAGTAAAATATATCTGCTTATAATAATATTGATATGTGGCGCAGGCAGGGATGCAGGAATTTTTTTAAAACGAGGGGACCAAAATCTTAGAGTTTTTCAAATTTGGCACGCGCTTTGGCTACATGACAGCCTGAATTTCAAGAACAGCAAAAAGTGTAAAAGGCCTAGCCGAGCAATTTGGCAGTAAAGAACATTTTCAAACACAGTTTCAAGAAAATTAGAATAATTCGATTTCAAATGCATATTATGATTGGGGCCGAAATTAACGGGTGATACTTGATATTGACGATGTCAACCCATCGAGATCGTTGCTCTTTACTGGGCCGCGCTCAGCCTGTCATTCCGCCTAATCTCTAATATATGTTAATGAACATAATAGCCTGGGGACCTCAGGTAAGTTGCTCTGCGAAGCAAGAATGCTAGTTCGCGCGGCGCGTCGAAGCGGCGAAGTCCTCCAAGGGTGATACCTGTAAAATATTTGTATTCTCTCAAAAAAATTTCAGGAAATTTGATTCCAGAATTCAAATTTAATTGTAGCACGATGCACTACTGGGCCGCGCCGCGCATATTCTCGGCGAGATGCACCACTGGGCATCGCCGAGCTAGGAAGGATTGACATCGTGAATTAAAAATTTAGCAATGTGAAATGATAAATCCAGCAAAATTTTGTTGTGCCAATTTAAGGGTCAAAGGAAAAGTCCTGCGAATTTTGAAAAATATGCTTACAGTAATTATAGGTCTCGCTCTCAAAGAGGGTTGCTTTAACCAAAGCCCTCTCGCTTGCAGTAGCGCGCGTAACGCAGTACGCGTAAATGTTGTAGCGCGATGCGTTACTGTACCGCGCCAAGCACTCAATGAGGCTTCTCAAAGCTACTGTGCCGCGCCGAGCTGCGATGAATTATATGACATCGTCAATTAAGCGTAAATGGTAAACTCATTACAGAATACATGGCTTGGTGAACAAAAAGGGTGCAACATGCAAGGTCGGAGGAAGAATATGGAACAATCTTTGGATAATTTGTTTTAAGGAATGAATTCTAGTAATACAATGAGGAATGTAAATTTGAACAACAAGGGGCTTGATTCACGATGTCAATCCTTCCTAGCTCGGCGAGGCCCGGTGTTGTAGGTTTACAACCTACCAGGACGTGCGCCGAGTTGGACTCGTCGACGGTCCAATATATGGAACAGATATTTTACGAGTATCACCCGTTGGTGCATCTCGGTGGTGCATCTCGCCGATCTACAGAAGTAGTGCATTGCGCTACAAAACAAGAGGCATACTGTGTTGGCCTGCTAATTTACTTGAAAATACTGAACACATGACAGCATAAAAAAAGTATAAATCAGTAATGTTATCTGAATTTTTATACTTGCTAGGTTTGCGCTTCTGAACTTTTGGTGAATCCTGACATGTGATATCAAAATATGTAATATAAGTTATCAGATTTCTGATTCATGCCAGCTTGATTGTGTTTTGTTAATTTACTTGAAAATACTGAACACGGCACAGAAGAGTAACCACTAACCAGCAATGTTATCTGAATTTTATAATCGCTAGGTTCCTGAACTTCTGATGAATCCTGACATGTAATATCGAAATCACAGTGCTGGTGCAGTGCCAAGCATGACCGACGACCGTGTCTTTTAAACATGATATACTATAATACCTAACCCCCTTGACTGTTTTTTCACGCATTATATTAAGGCTCATAGTCATATAACTATAATACTATAAGTATAACAATGCTGGCGCGTATTTTTGATTTTGCGCAAATTTCTTAAAAACCTACACATAACTATTTTTTATTCCTGTCTTCTTTGTAGGTTTATAACCTACCAAGACGCGCGCCGAGTTGGACTCGTCGACGGTCTTGAAACAAATATTTTACGAGTAACTATCACCCGTTAATGTCATCTTTGACATCGAATTAGAATGTTTGGACTAAAAATAAACCTGCTGAACGACTTCCAATGAGCCCTGAATGCCTGAAAAAAAAACAGTAACGGGGGTATAATTTGTATCACGTCGTGACCCCCCCCCATTGTCGTTTCACTATACTGTAGAGTTTCTACGATACAGGGGGAGCCGCGCACTCGTGCGCGGCGGGTCATACAACGTATGCAGTATGACAAGGTATAATAGTATAGAATGTATAAAAGGCACGGCCATATTTGCCAGTACTGTGATACCTCTGACTTTCTACGATACAGGGGGAGCCGCGCACTCGTGCGCGGCGGGTCATACAACGTATGACAAGCTATAATAGTATAGAATGTATAAAAGGCACGGCCATGTTTGGCAGTACTGTGATTAGGGGGTGCACCATAAACTTGCTCGGATTTTAAAAATTTTTGTACCAGTGTTTTCTAGAGACTGTGAGAATTTTCACAATACCAAATTTGTCATACCTTTTTGGAAAGATCAGTGAGTATCGCCTAGGTGCCATATTTGATGGTGCGCGGCTTTTGGAGCAAAATTAGCTGTAAAAGTCGCGTAATTCGACCAAATTTGACCAAATTCGTTGATTTTTGTCGTATTATTTGGATATATCTTCAGTTCCTTGAATGAGATCATTCTGAAAATTGGCGACGACCTTCCAATAGGGCTTTCACAACTGTCCGAAAAATTTGATGGATATCGGAGTTGATGTAGTGATCAAAATGGGGCAAAATACGCTGCTTTTAGCTGTAACATAATGTCTGATGGTTGGATATGCTTTAAACTTTTTGGACACCTTCCTTGTAAGTCTATGAGTAAGCTTACCAATTTTTGTTGCAATTGGAGGTCGGGAAGGATACTTAATATCTATTTGTGTGAAGAAAATTGTGCTGGCCGAAATTAGCGCTAAAAAACCATCCTACAGTCGGCACGCGCGGCTCACTGTCGATGGCGCACTACCTACTGTGATACCTCTGAAGGCAGGCTCACTGGGATTAATCAACAGCTGGTATTTTCTACATACACAGTTTTCCAAGCCGACTAGAATCAAACGACTTGAAAGTAGCTGGAAATCCGGGGGGTGGTTTTCAAAATTAGGACACACCCGGACAGGGGGAAGGGGTTAGGGGGGTGGTCTGAAAATCTGCGATTTTGGTGAACGCCCCTAAGCCTCTCTCGTGCACTCCGGCCGCCGAAAAGGGGTTACAACGTGTATTAACGAAATACGTCAAGACTCAATGGCAATGTCCCAACACGTTGTGAGTGTATGTTGCATATCTCTGCTTGGGCATTGGGGAGGTTTTGCCGATTATCACTCGACGTAATAACTGTCATTAAATTTTCAAAACAATGTGTAGAATTTATCATAAAACTTAAGCATTAAGCGATCGAAGGTTTATCGGGGTCACGTGATGAGAGCAGAGGTCACGTGACCCGCACTATATAAATTATATATCTTGCACCTCCTAGCTCAGGCAGTCAGCCTGCCATTCTGCCGCATCTTTATGTTTATGGACATTATAGCCTTATAGGTCCCCAGGTAAACTCTATCCAGAACCATCTCTTTAATTTATATTCTTGGAGGACGTCGCCACTTCGACGCGATCTATCAATCTTGCTTCGCAGAGCAACGATCTCGAAGGGTTGACATCGTCAATCAATTTTATTCTAACAATAAAATTTCTCAGTTCACTAATTAAATTAACCATAAATACAATACAAATCATACAATTATCAACGCAAAGTAGTAGTACGTAGTGTAAGTGAGATCATGATCAACAAAAAAGAATCAAAGAAATTAATAGACAATTATACAAGGAATAATAATTGAACTTGAAAACACACTTTGAAACACCCTTACACTTTATGGGTTCTGAAATAGCCGATTCTATATAAACTTTAATCCCTGGACACAGTGAAGGAAAATGTTTCTCAGTGATCGTGTACAGCGAACAGAGAGTGACCAATAAGAAGAAGGGAAATGTTCAGGAGGAGTAAGTACCACACCAGATCACTGATACCTAGTATCACTCTGTTATCAGTAAACGTCCTGCGGGTTATTATATATCATTGTAAATTTGTTGTGTTTCAGTATCATGTAGCCAGTCCACATCCTGAAGGGCTCGAATTACTATTAATACTATTAAATTGTTACTATTCAGTAACTTAATAGTAATACTGCAATAAAAGATATGAATATGACAGAGGGTAAAAATGAAGACCATTACCGGTTAAAATAGAAGGTGAAGAATGAAGTGAAGAGGAAAGTAGGTCCAATCATTTCAAGCCAATGTCGCGCTTTGATGGCTGAAACAGAATGAACAGTTATTTTACAGTGGTACCTAAAAAGTAAATATCACAAACTTGAAAGTCGCATAATTTAAAAAGATGTGTACAATAATATAACAATGAGAGCTGTCTTTGTGTTCAGATTCTTCGGTGCGGGATAAATTACTGCTGAGAACCGCAAAAATTATCAATGTTGGATTCGATATTAACTTGAGATTTTCCAGTTCACAAACCAGTTACAAACCAACCTGTGTAGAACATTATGAGAGCACTAGAAGCCCACAAGAATTTCGTCATCACATCGTCAAACCAAGCTCCGAAAAGTAACCTGATAAGTAGCGCTAACATTAGGTTACAAAAACAAGAACTAAATTTGTTAAAAACTAAAAAAATTAGGTTACAAAAACAAGAACTAAATTAGTTTTAAAAATACGTTATGGACAGATCCTAAGCGAGATGATAAGTTATCGTCTACTGCTCCCATTAAGAGTAGAACAGCTGCAGTACCCTCAAGCAGGGTAAATCCCTAAATCGGTTAACGGGTGATACCCTTGACGGATGTTACTCGTCTAAATTTCTTCGAAGTAGCGCGCGCCGCTTTCTTCTCGACGGCACTCGACGCCGCTTTCTTCTCGACGGCACGAGCTACGAAGTAGCGCGCGCCGGGCCAGATCATTAACAATGGTCAAGTGATACCCGTACAATATTTATTTGAAATATTGATCGTCGAAATAAGATCGTCGATGTGCTGCGAAGCAACTCGGCGCGCGCCGTAGAGTTAGTAGGTAATAAACCTACAATAAATCGGGAATGGTAAACAGTTACCTGTCACGCCAGTCCCTGTGTACGGCGCTCTTTTCAAGGTTCCTGAACAGGAAGAGGAGCGAGCAATTATAGACTAACAAGTTAGGTAAGGTAAACTGGGGTCAAAGCAAGGGATAATTGTACCTTGAAGCTAGGAAGGAGAGGAGGAGTAGGACGTGAGGAGAAGGATTAGTGTCCGGGATCTCTATCAAGTTGTGAACTTGCAGTGAGACCAGGGCCAGGCAGAGCAGGCCTACAGCGTGGGTTACTGAGCTTAGCTCTCTGTAGAACCTGTGGAGAGTGACACATTGTGACATGTTGTGACACATGGTGACACATTGTGACACGTTGTGACACATTGTGACACATCGTGATAACTTCAACAGAGGAAATTGTTTTGGTTTAAATCGCTTAACAAGTTTTATTACTCAAGAGAGAGAGAGAGAGAGAGAGAGAGAGAGAGAGAGAGAGAGAGAGAGAGAGAGAGAGAGAGAGAGAGAGAGAGAGAGAGAGAGAGAGAGAGAGAGAGAGAGAGAGAGAGAGAGAGAGAGAGAGAGAGAGAGAGAGAGAGAGAGAGAGAGAGAGAGAGAGAGAGAGAGAGAGAGAGAGAGAGAGAGAGAGAGAGAGAGAGAGAGAGAGAGAGAGAGAGAGAGAGAGAGAGAGAGAGAGAGAGAGAGAGAGAGAGAGAGAGAGAGAGAGAGAGAGAGAGAGAGAGAGAGAGAGAGAGAGAGAGAGAGAGAGAGAGAGAGGAGAGAGAGAGAGAGAGAGAGAGAGAGAGAGAGAGAGAGAGAGAGAGAGAGAGAGAGAGAGAGAGAGAGAGAGAGAGAGAGAGAGAGAGAGAGAGAGAGAGAGAGAGATTCACAACTATTAGACACTTGAACAGTGCAATAAGGTGATATCAAAATTATGCGACTCAACTATAACCAATTCGAACCAAATCAAATATACATTATAAAAAAATCAGTAAAGTTTACACGATTTAAAGACAAGTTGGCAAGACTTACCGCAGGATGATCGAGGTTGGGTAGAGATAACGAGCAAGTCCACAAACTCCTAGCAGTAGGAAGCCACAATACGTCATAACCGCTCCACAACCTGAGGTGGATATGAGGATTAGAGTTATACTATTATATAGTACATAGTATATAGTATATAGTACATACCTTACTCGGGATTATTATGACCGGGATAAAGTGGTGGGTTTAGGGTAATTTCGCCATATTTTTCCCGAACCACATTTTCACCGGTCGTTAATAAACCCGCCTACTCAGCTTTTAGGGTTCCCAAGGGGTATGGGTGCTCATATTTTAATCGTTGTCTTATATTCACTAAAGAAGACTATTGGGACACTTGTTGTAGGTTTTTCGACTTCATTTGGCTAAAATTGCAAAAAATTCACCTTTTTGCCCAATTCTTGTCATATCCTTATTGTCAAAGTTGATTTAAATAGGCCAATTTTTAATTTCTTAGGTATTGACTATCTCTACATAATGAAATAGGACTCAAAGTAAAAGTAACAGTTAAATTAAAACTTGAATTAATTAAAACTGATGAAAGGGATGATCCAGATGAAGATAACGAAGATGATTACAACTTATTGGAAGACTAAACAGCTCTCCCTTTATCTTAATATCGATCTGGTTGTTACGCTTCAAATGTTAAAAATTATTTTCCATCTAGTTTGATTAACCACGAGTCATTATTTCTGTCTACTTTCAACAATTATTGATAATTCGACTTGTTTCACAAGTTTTAGCAATGCGAAAATTTCTAAACTTGCTTATCTCTAATAAGGAAATTTACATCTGAGACAAAATTTTTGAATCTAAAATTGAAAGGTTGGACACCGGTAAAATGGCGACCGGGAAAATGTGGTGGGTTTTGAGCAATTTCGCCATATTTTTCCCGAACCATATTTTAACCGGTCGTTAATAAACCCGTCGTAATAATCCCGAGTAAGGTAGTACATAGTACAGGGTGGGCCAAAAGTCAGTACTCATACGTTGGCCTTAATAGCTCCGCCGTTTTTTATATTTGAGAGCTGTTGCTTTGCAGATGGCATAATGTACTTACTGGTTCGAGGATTCCGTCGTCAAAATTTAAAAATTCGAATATTTTAGACCACGCCCATTCAATATTAAAACACTTATATTGTTTTCTCTGAACATGCTGAACGCCTGATTTTTTCAGAGACGGTAGATTATCAAATGTTGCATATGATCTGAAAACATGAGGCAAAATGGATTAGAAATGACGAAGTTATCAAGCATTTTCTGTATCTCGTTAACAAAATTGACTGGGTGATTATGTGACACCGTGACTTAATTGGGCACCCTTAACAATTTCCATAATGTTTAACGGGGCAGTTAACAGGGTCACCTTATCACGTGATTAGGTAAACCAATTACCTGATCACACGTAATGAATAAACTCGTTATGCTTCATATCTCGGTCATCTGAGAAGCTACAGTTCTAATTCTTTCAGGACAAACGTAATTCGAATGGCCAGACACAATTCAATAACATTTAGCTTGATCCGACTATCCAAACTATCAAATAAATGTGAAAATGAACCTCCAATTGTAAAAAATGAACGCGAATATTTATCGAGTTGACAAATTCATCGAACCAGTGGTGGTACTAAGTCATACCAGAAAGAAGTTTTTAAATTGGGCACTCAGTGACTGAGCTATAAAGGCCAACGTATGGGTACTGACTTTTGGCCCACCCTGTATATATTATATATTATATATTATATAGTATATAGTATATAGTATATAGTATATAGTATATAGTATATAGTATATAGTATATAGTATATAGTATATAGTATATAGTATATAGTATATAGTATATAGTATATAGTATATAGTATATAGTATATAGTATATAGTATATAGTATATAGTTATATACCACTATAATCTTAAATAATATCGCACAATCAAAATACATGGGTCCTTCACATCTGAGTTAGCGCGGCTCTGAATTAGCGCGGCTCTAAACGACATTGATGTTATCTGTTAATTCAGAGCCGCACCAATTCAGATCCGCGCCAATTTTGAAGTGAAGATCATAAGATTGACAAGAGCTGAGAAACTCCTCCGCTTCTGACTCAATTGGTATTCTTACTGATGTGAAGAAGGTTCTGATGATGAAGGAGAGTAAGGACGTAGCATGAGGTCAGGACCAGAGTGCCGTGTCCCAGAACAATGAGAGTGTTGCTGGCAACTCCCTTCATTGTAGTGCTAACTATCACTACATCTACTGCAAGTAAACAGTGAGGGTAGACAACTGGTGGGAAGTGGCCGAATGTATTCTTGACACGTGACAAGAAAGTATTTTATTGGCTGTAGCCATAAACAGTTCAGTTAATCGCTGTCACGTTTCAAGAAATATTCTCCACAGTACATCCCATCTTGTAGACCAATCTACAGACGATACCTTGGTCAGGAGTCATGACACAAATTCTAATTTAACGAAGACAAAAGATATTAAGATCGAGGATGTGATCCTTCTAATATTGCGAAAGTCAAATTATTTATGATATCATTGTGGTTACATCAAGGTAGAAATAACATGTACATTGTACATATTGTACAATGTGCATCGTGCCTGCAATGTACAATGCAAATTGCAAATAGTACGAACTAGCAGTACAAAGTAATACAAATAACATATTATACAACACGGCGCATGCTCTGACTCTAAAAAGACTGTGCCGCTGTGTCCCAGGTGCAGAACTGAGAATTCAGTAGGTGATTTGTAGTAGAAGGGGTGCCTGGTGCAAGTAGTATTTACCTTCAAGGTAGCAATTACCACCTGTACCACTAATAGTCGCTCATTCAATGAATTTCATAATGATCACTAGCAACTGGTTCATCCTGCCCAGAGATGTGCAGCTGTGATTCCAGGGGTAAAATAAATATCATGTAAAGAGAGAGAGAGAGAGAGATAGAGCATAGTGTCTCATGCTTGACCAAATAAAATCTCTTCTGATGGAATCTTAATTCTGAGCGCCCATCACGTAATACGTATCCAATAGTAACACTTAATAGGTAAATTACCTAATTATGTACAAAGCAGTAATTAGGGGAGCTGTAAATGGGGAGAGAGAGAGAGAGAGAGAGAGAGAGAGAGAGAGAGAGAGAGAGAGAGAGAGAGAGAGAGAGAGAGAGAGAGAGAGAGAGAGAGAGAGAGAGAGAGAGAGAGAGAGAGAGAGAGAGAGAGAGAGAGAGAGAGAGAGAGAGAGAGAGAGAGAGAGAGAGAGAGAGAGAGAGGAGTGAAATCATGGCCATGGTGAGGGATGTCATAACTGACAGGAAAATCCATGGTATTTCAGCATGTTTATCTGGCCCTGGTATTTATACCATTTATGGCCAAATAAATTGAATCACCACCCTTTGTTTACAGTTTTACATGAAAATATGATTCAGAGCTTGTAATGTCCAGCTTTATATCATGACAAGTAATAATGATATAATGATAATAGCATTAGTTCGCCCCCAAGGGTTCGGCTCCAGTCCCTCTGGTCTGGCAGACTGTTCTCTCTGCCTTGCAAGCGGGGTTGTGTCCGCTGAACATAGGCTCTTAGTTCACTAGGTGGCGTGTCTCACAACCTGGCTTGAAAGACAGAGAGAACAGACCAACAATTCGGTAGTGTGGCAAAGCACGGTTAACGCACGGTTAAGGCACGGTTAAAGCACAGTTAAGGCACGGTTAAGGCACGGTTAAGGCACGGTTAAGGCACAAGGGTTACATAATTTAAGGCACGGTTGAGGCACGTCACTTAAGGCACGGTTAACGCACGGTTAACGCACGGTTAAGGCACGGTTAAGGCACAAACTGCCCAAAAGCAACCATTATGGTCGCTTAAGGCACGGTTAACACACGGTTAACGCACGGTTGGGGAAATATAACATATAAACATACAAGTGGTTAACTAAGGCACGGTTAAGGCTCTGGAAATTTGTGTCCTTTAAATCCAAATAAGCCCAATGTAGGTTTACAACATGTCCAGATTGTCCACCAAGCACTCAAGCAGTAAGGCTCACGAACTGTTAAAGCAACAGACATTACACTTCAATAGCTCACAAACAAGCACAATAACAACCACTACATTAACTAGAGATCAGGTACACTAGGAGGGAGTCACGTGTAGTTACCAGGGTTACCAGGGTCATTACCTGGCACAGCCCATACCTCACTAACTACTCAGTACTACTAAGCATATCCGTTTACAGGTCATTTTTCAGTAGAACTAGTGCAACACATCATGAGCAATATCAACCTCTACCACAATCATGCCAGTTTTTAATAAGAATGGATCCACGAATGAATGGCTATTGTAATGACGCGACTGTTAGCTCCAGACAGAGCGAATACCATTACACTGGCATACCATACATACTAGGTACTGAGGCAGATACCTGCCATTCAGAGTAGGTATTACTATTAAGGACCTAAATACTATAATACACAGCTAGTACTGCAGCTACATACTATACCCAGAGTGGGTATTGCACAACCAGGATGACTCTACACAGTACCTACACACGAATACACACAGAGAGCAACAACCTGTGCAGCTCAGCAACTCAGCGACGCTCCCGTCGTTAATTATCGTAATGACGCTCTCAACGCTGCGGTTAGTGTGTCACGAGACTCAGCTGCTTGCAGAGGACACAGACCCTCCGCAAGCAATTGAGACCCGCGATCGTTGAAATTGGAAGCTTTCCGGACAGGGCAGCTGTTTTGAGGGCTAGAGAGTGGGACTCACAATTGTGAGAACAAGATAATGGAGCCAATTAATTGAGGCTAGTAATCGAGAGCAATGTAATAATTGAGAGCAATGCAGCAAGGGAGAGAGACAGAGAGTAAAGAAGGAGTACGGAGCAATGAGTGGCTCTGCAGTAGATCAGGAAGTGATGACGTACTTCTCTCTAACTATTCCTGATAATACCCAGGTTGATCACCATTCTCCCTGCTCGCTGCTGCTATGGTTTATGTTCAATAATGACTGATTTATGCAAGCCATTTCTACTGTGACTCTGTACTAATAATACAACTGAAGCATGGAAATATGAGGAACAGGAATCTTTCATTAACTGGAAAACGAAAATGAGAAAATGGTATCGAGAAAATGTTTATCTCAAACTAAAGCATGCCCTGAAAAATATCATCCAACATGAAATAAATCATGGACATTTTGGACAAGGTTTCGATAAAGCTTCTAATTCGAAGCTGTTTGATCGTATTGTTTAATGTTTATTGTAGAGACTATAAGACCAGATAATCAATAAGTATTCTAACAGTATATAAACGTTCTGCTTCTAATAATTACATAATTCCTCTGTTTACTGTACAGTCACGTTTATTTGGCAAACGATGAGAAAGAAGGAGGAGGAAGATAAGGAGGAAGAAGAAGGAAGGAGGAGGAAGAAGAAGGAGGAAGAAGAAGAAAGGAGGAGGAAGATTGAAGAAGGAGGAGGAAGAAGGAAGAAGGAGGAAGAAGAAGGAAGAAGAAGGAGGAAGAAGAAGGAAAAAGAAGGAGGAAGAAGAAGGAGGAAGAAGAATAAGGAGGAAGATAAGGAGAACGAATTTGAAATACGGATGATGTCAAAATTCCAAAACCAATTTTTTTTAGAAGTTTATCAGACTATTCAATAACTATTAACTACCTTATATTCGTTAATATTGTGGCGGTTAAAAAATGGCGGTTTTCCGGGAATCTTGTCATGTTTTAACGGTCATAATTTAACCCGCCATGATATTAACGAGTAAGGTAGGCACTGTTTTACTTCAAGCAAACAGAAGAACGTACACAAATATGATTCTTACCTTATTTGATTGTGATGTTGCTCACATGAGTACACTCTCATCCAATATATCCACGACACAGTGTACGTGTCTGAAAGTAATTATCATCAAGGTTCAAGGTTATACTCATACTTATAGCACCGCTGGAGTGTATCTTATTAATCACTTTTAAGGGTTCTTTTCAGATTAAAACAACACCAATTGACTCGAATACTTTTAAAGTTGAAACACTTTAATTCATTCACTATTAGTATTAATAAGATCAAACTTAAATTTATTTTCTGCACTGTAAAACCAGATATTTTCACGGGCACTCATTTCCGCAAATTTCTAAAAGTGGGCCGATTTCACGGCATCAATTTTTTCCGTTCACCTTTTTGTAAAAAGGCAATAGTGAAAGGTTACGAATGGACGTTTTTGCAGAAAAACGAGGATTTTGGAGAACGAGGTAGGTAGGTTCCAATATGTTGTCATTCCGTCCTTTCGTTCGTTACTGGGCCGCGCTCAGCCTGTCATTCCGCCGAATCTGTATTCGTTTATGAACATTATAACCTGAGGTCCCCAGGTAATTCGTTCGTTACCATGTCAACCTGCCGCGCGCGCGCGAGGATTTCTTGCGGAGATGTGATGTATAGACTATAGATAGCTTGTGGTCAATGAATGCGCGGCACGAGTGTATTTTAATGTATACTATGTAATGTGTAATATTAGGTTATACTTATACGCCCAATTTGTACGTGGCACGCGTAGTGTACTGATGTGTACACGAGTAGTTTACTTTTGCTTACATTTCCTTGAATTACAGATACAATTACAAGTTAAGTTCTACGGCAATTGAATTGAATTTCAAGTGTTTTCCGTATTTAATGCATAATTTATAAATATTATTATTATTAAGAAGTGAGCTGATTGGAGCTTATACTTAAAGTTATAGCGAATGGAAATCTAGCGTCCGCCAAAACGAAACTACGGGCGCAATTCTTGTTTCGAATTTAAATGGTTTAATTATTTTAATGGATAAATAAGTAAGAAATGTCAAATGATACATTTTTTGGATCCAAAAAATTCGTGAAAATAGCTGAAGACGATTTACACATGTATTTTGAAATCTCATGCTAACAAACATTTCGTATTTACTATACGAAGTTATAACTTATATGTATTAAATAACCCCCTCCACGTGAAAATAGATTCTTGGCACAAATTAATGGTTTTACAGTACCTTACGAGACATATTTAAATGGTACGAAAGTCGGTGGTTTTTCGAAAAAAACACCATATTTTCCTTAATTATGACTGAATGGAGTTCAGAGTTGGGTTAAAAACATATAGGTGATACGATAGTTTAACTTGTAGAAGCTTTCAATAAACATGTGTTAATCGTCGTCATAAATATGTGTTAATCGACAATCGTCGTCCGCCTTAATTATGACTTTAGCGATTTACTGTCAATATAGTAGGTTATAAATATGATTAATCAAACAGACAAACAAATGAACACTAGCATTCGATCATGAATTGCTTTAACAATGATTGTGGACACGTTCCATTATGATTAAAAGTAAGCAAGCTCTGTCACTACTATATTGGCCAGGGCGGTGAAATTTCGGGAGTAGTGGAAGATATTAGATAACAGACACCATCGGTCTTCTATACCGTCTGGAGGATTAGAAGTTAAGTTGAGGCTAACTTTCAAAGGCTCCGGAGAAATTGTTTACAAGATGAAACTTGTAGGTTTACAACCTACCAGGACGCGCGCCGAGTTGGACTCGTCGACGGTCCTGTTCCAATATATGGAACAGATATTTTACGAGTATCACCCGTTAAATTTACGTCACCGGAATTATGTAGAACACTAGTGTGTTCACTAGGCGAGGCCAAAACTTGCGGCGGAGGCGTTCGGCGGCGTGGCCCCTTGGCACTTGTAGTTGTGATTCAGTCGAACATAAATACAGTCTCTGTACGGGATGGGCCTCAAAATACTGCTTTGGCTTCCAGTTTCAGTTTATGGTTGATTTATTTTAACGTGAATGGTTAATTTGAATTCTCTTGAATTTCTCTTAATTAATTAATTAAATTTGTCCGATGGAAGATTTTTCAAAATTCTCAAAATATAACTTTCACGCCGCCGCTGATTTATTCTTCGGCGTGAGCAAAAAATCGGCGGCGGCGTGTACCACTGCCCGTGCCTACGGCCGGGACTTCACTATCGCAGTTGAAATGCAAAAGTATAAACCCGCCATTATATGTAATTGCTATGACCAGTTTACTGGTCAACTGGTGTTTCGGTGTCCCTAATTTTGTTTACACTCGGTCACTTGTCAAGGCATGTAAGGTCATTCGGCGAATTTTCTTTGAAATAAAATGTATTTGTGTAACAATTTGAAAGTTTATTAAAAAATTCTAAAAAACGCATTACATTTTCGTAGTTAAAACGGTGCGAAAATATGAACTCGCTCAGTCCAAACACACCGCAATTTAATTCTGAATGCCCCTCACGTATCTATATTTTACTATTTTTTATAATAGTAATACTTTATAGTTTATAGGCAATCTTGAGGTCCCCTGCCAAATTACCTAATTACATAGCAAGTCTGTTATAAAGGGAAAGAGAGCGAGAGTGGGAGAGAGGGAGAGTAAGTGAGACACTTTGGTATCACATTTGGGTCACAAAATGATTAATTAAACCACTTGCCACCGACCGATTTAAAAAACCTTCATCATTTGGCTTCGTCAGAGTTTTTCCGCACTATACCGAAAAACCAGTCCCAAATCTATTACCGTTTTCTTGATTAAACCGTTCGTAAATTACAGACAGACAGACAGACAGACAGACAGACAGACAGACAGACAGACAGACAGACAGACAGACAGACAGACAGACAGACAGACAGACAGCAGACAGCCAGACAGCCAGACAGCCAGACAGACAGACAGACAGACAGACAGACAGACAGACAGACAGACAGACAGACAGACAGACAGACAGACAGACAGACAGACAGACAGACAGACAGACAGACAGACAGACAGACAGACAGACAGACAGACAGACACATTTATTGCGATTATTAGTATAAATTATGCCAATCATTCATCATCTTTACTACGGGTATAATAGTAGTTGCCAATTAGTAACCTTATCTATCAGCTCTTGAGTCATGATTGATTTGTGGGAATTATAGAAAGTGGGAAGAATTGTCCGATTATTCCAGACTAGAACTATAATCATCAATAATAATCACTAATGAATTTGTAATTATGATTCGAATGTTCCGTCAGTTTCCATTCGTCGACCGTCGTAGTGGCAGGACAGAAGAATATTATCCGTTTATTCAATTATTCATTTATATATTAGACCATTAGAATAATCTAGTTAATTCGTATAAATAATGTTTATCTGGATGACGTCATTCATTCATGATTGGAACAGTTTTATTGAATTGGGCGTTGTTCTATTTGTCTCTCAAGGACGATCCGCATCAGATTTATTACCAGTTAAGCCAATCGTTGTGAACGTCGTTCTTGGTTCATTCCATCGAAGAAACAAAATTAGACGCAGAGCTTGTTTGCTAATTGCTTTCCACAATCTTGAAATGTTTCCCCTTAGGAACTACCAGAGCGATATATTCGTTTGGTGATCAGTGATCACTATTAAAGGGGGCCGGGGGTCTTCATCAAAATTCTCTCAAAATTGATTTTATAGTTGTTTCTGATAGAGGGGGAAAGATATCTATCAGCTGCTTTTGGTCCGATGGAAAAATATTGTTCCTAGCCGAAATTATCGCCGGTCCAAGGTCAGATCTTGGACCTCATTTTTTGACGATTTTTCCAAGATTTTCAAAATCGAATAAAAAAAGTTTCTAAGGCCTATCTCAGAATTCGGCTCGATTGGTCTCTTCTGAATGATCCCTAGATCATATCCTGAAAGTTTAGGGTGATTGCTCAAAAGATGTAGGAGAAGATAGATTTTTTAGACTCGATTTTCAGGGCGCGCGATTGAAAATCGCTTGCGCAATACAATTATTGATACATGTTTCGTATCCCAATATCAGAGATAATATTTTTCCGCCTTCGGCGGCGCGCGCTTCGCGCGCGAAAAGTGGCATGCAACGTATGTCAATACAATTAGTATAACACTGGTGTGCCCACCTAAGAGTGAAATTGAAACGTAGCGCGCCTGAAACGTCGCGCGCCTGAAACGTCGCGCGCCTGAAAGCATGACAATGTCAGCCGCGCCGAAAGCTTTCATAAGGTTTCAGTAATCGCGTCTGCGGCAAATTATAAATTTTTAAAAATTTGCCAGTATTTGTCACAATTTGGCGGGACTGGAATATGATGCATTGGTTCGGTTAAAAAACCACCAGATATAATGATTACAAGATTAACGGTGACTGAAATATGGCGAAAACTTGTTTAGCCCACAGCTATTGAAAATGTCGAGTTTACGAAGCTTGATGACTTAATGATAACACAATTCTTTTAGGCAGATAAAGATATTAAATCAAATACATGAAAACATAGCACGGCATGATAATCGAATGAAAATTATGTTGACCATCAGTCTTAGTGCCATGTCCGCAAGTGTACTTGTCCCCTTTTGAATCCATGAGCTATTGGGACATTAGCGGACATGGTTTTTGGGACATTAGCGAAACTAGAGTTAACGAAGCTCAAGTTACCGAAGCTTGATGACTAAATGATAACACAATTCTTTTAGGCAGATAAAGATATTAAATCAAATACGTGAAAACATAGCACAGTATGATAAATAAATGAACATTATTCTTAGTTTATTCCTTTTGTGTGAATAAGATCACCGTAGCAGACAGCAGTTCACGCAACATTGGCCGTGTGGACTGCTTGTCACTTGCGGAGGACATTTAAAAAACACGTTCTAGAAAAGTACACGTGTTAGTCAAAACAATACATGCACGTTTTACAAAAATAATTACAAGTGTAAAATTACCAATCTTTAAAAATACACGTGTTACAAATACAAATACACGTGTAACAAAATACTGAGCACATATCAGGCCATATATTTGCTTAAATTTGAAGTGAGTTAAGTTTTAGAACCCTTTAAAAGCA